ATAAGAAAAAGTTTATATTGTGGTCAGCGAGGGTATGAATCTGAAGTTTGGCCGTTTCTGATCATTTGGCCTGCATTTCGCTTCAGGCTTGGGTCTGTGTGATTTATGTGTTGTCAAGTATCTTTTATAAGGCCTTGAAATGTAATAGGGCTATCCAAGACACCTTTTATTCTTTCGAAGTAGACCGGATCTCTCCACAGAACAGGGTCATCCAAAAGGCTTTGCCACCTTTGATCGCAGGTGCACCAAGTTGATCTGGTTGGATCTCCTGCAAACCCTTATTGAGTCGGTTATCGGCCCGTTCATTACCAAGCAGGACGCAATGTCCAAGAAACCGACTGGATTTTCCTTTACTGATGAGATCACTTATTAGTATTTTTACCTCATCAAAGAATCGGTGATCGCATTGCTGCCAGCTGGTAACAGCTAAAATATCAGCCGTCCAGTCCACCAGAAGCTCAATGTTATGAAGATGTACCTCTTTTCCTGCTGAAGAAGCCAAGGTCTTGATTAATTGATGGGTGTGGTAGAGGATCGAAATAACTAATAGTCTGAAGGAGCAAGACGTGGACCGTATGCTGGTTGTTGTATGAAAATCAAAATAAGTAATAATCTCAAAGAGAAAAGTCTGTACTATCGCAGGAAGTCGATCACATCTTTTCTTTCTGAAGGAGCCAAAGACTGGATTAAAGGGTCGATATGGCAGGATAATAATAAAAATTAATAATCTGAAGGAGCAAGATCTGGACCATACGTTGGTTGTAGCAGGAGGATCGAAATCGAAATCAATAGCTGAACTATAAGCTGGTTGTGGCAGTATCGATCGCATGGATATATTCTTCTTCTTTTCATTCTGTAGTGACAAAGTTCTGGCTTAAATGGTAGGTATCGCAAGACGGTCGAAATAAGTAATGGTCTGAATGAGAAAAGTCTGGACTATAAGATGGATTTCGCAGGGGGTCGGTCACATTAACACATAATTCTTATTTCCTTCTTTAGAAGCCTATGTCAGGATTAAATGGTGGATGTGGCCGGAGATTAGAAATAAGTAATAATCATAAGTCCTATTTGGTGGGTATGGCAGGAAATCGATTGCATGAATTATTGCAATCAATTGCATGGAAATGCATAATTTCATTTGTACTGAAGGCATGTCTTGGCGGAACTGAACTCCTCTGATGTTAACCAACTCTGGATATTTGTATAACTGTATATTTAAAGTTCAGAACATATTCATACGAAACTTTTCTAAGTTCCACTCCGATCGTAAATAAATCTTTATTTTATTTATCAAGAAATTCTCCAGCATTGCAACAAACCATTAATTCACTACTTTCGTGGTCCGCTTGACCAATTAATACATGACAATTAATTAAGGTTTTTAGTTGAGATGAAAAATAGTTAATGGCACGAGAGGGATTCGAACCCACGACCTTCGGCTAGATACGCCGCTGCTCTACCACCTGAGCTATCGTGACCTCGATCCACTCGGACATTAACTTCCCATCTCAACCCCACCTTATGAGGCAAAAGGAGGGAAAACTCATAAGGTGGGGTTGAGTTGGGGAGTTGATGTCCTAGGGGATCGAGGTCGCGATAGCTCAGGTGGTAGAGCAGCGGCGTATCTAGCCGAAGATCGTGGGTTCGAATCCCGCTCGTGCCATTGACTTTTTTATCTCAACTAAAAACCTTAATTAATTGTCATTGCAACAAAGGTTTACCTTAATTTCAAAAGTTTTGAATCCAAAACCGTACGACATTTGGACGCCCAAACGACGCCAACCGAGGATTATTGTAACCTGTGCAGTTAGGACATTTCTACCAGTGATTACAAAACAAACAAGTGTTCAAAAATACCAATGGAGACGTCAAATCGAACAACTTTTTCCCGAAGTTATCGCCTTTCGATTTCTAATGGCATCTAACAACTTGTGCCAAGTGGATAAAACACTGGCCAATTGGCACGGTGATCCAAGCCCATCAACCTGATTATAAACGGAAATATATTCTCATCTTAATTAATTTAATGATTTCTGGAATAGTAATTTATTTTAATAATAAAAGTCAAATTACATAAATTGGAATATATGGCAGCAGGTGTAGAAAAAAGATTAAGGAAAAAGCTAATTGTACAAACATAAGATGTAATAAAATATAAGAGGCTTCTTAAAATAACTATCTTTCTATCAAATTAAATGCATTAGTTAAAACAAAAATAAACTATAATGTTATGAGTTGGCGGATTTTCCTTCCGGGGTACCAACCAGGTCGGGCTCTGAACCCTCAATAGACAGTATATAGCAGTTGCCACCTGCCGATTTTTTATTATCTTTCATTGAATGAGTAAAAATGATAAACGAATTCGGTTACTTTCATTCCAGTCACCAGTGGAGACAATCAGGCAATAGCCAACGCGTAGGACAAGGAAGCTCTGCTTCCAATACCTGTGCTATATCCAGGCGGAATCCGATTGGTTGGAAGTGTAGGAAAAAGGTCAAATTCAAATCATATCAGAAGAGCACAGCGAGAAAAGGCAGACGCAAATGATCGGTAACGACCAAAAATAACAAGTGAGGGGTGACTGCTGGTAGTAAACTAAAGTTTCAACTAGGTTACGCACTGCTTCAAAAATAATTCCGCCTTCGAAGCAGAAGGAGCAAGTTCTGGTCTATATGGTGGTTGGTGGATATATTACACGAAAATATTACTCCTCTTTATCTTCTGAATGAGCCAAGGGCTGGATTAAATGGTAGGTGTAGCAGGAGGATCGAAATAAGTATTACTCTGAACGACCAAGGTCTGGACAATAAGATGGATGTATGAGGAGGTCGATTGCGTGAATATATTATTTTTTGTTTTTCTTCTGTAAGAGCCCAGGTCTAGATTAAATTGTGGGTGTGGCAGAAGGTTCGAAATAAGCATTAATCTGAAGGAGCAATGTCTGGATTATATAGTGGGTATGGCACGAGAATAGATAACACGAATATATTCTTCTTCTTTTCATTCTGAATGAGCCAGTTTCTAGATTAAATAGTGGGAGTGTCATGAAGATCGAAATAAGTAATAGTTTGATAGAGTAAGATATGGATTACCCATACTTTTATTCCTACCATGTACTAACGTCCTCTCCCGATGTTGAGTATGCCATACAGCTTCTCAAACCCACGAAAATAACTCGTTTTGATCGCATTGTTCCTCAAATTCTTAAAAAACAAATAAAAGCACTACTCTACTTACTTCTGTTTCCTGGAAACATATCATTCATATGGTACCAAAACCAATACATCCCCCATCCTCCTAGCGACCATTAGCTTATTACAATCTTAGGAAAGAACCTTAAGTGCTGCTTTTTAAATCCTAGACTACAGAATACGGTAACAGACCTTAAATTTTAATTACGCTACTGCAATACCACCACGATGCAACACTGTCATCACGTTATGAACCTGACCTCTTTTTCCCTCTACTGTTGAATGTGTTGTAAGGAAAGTTTCTGTTATAATGAATACACTCTAAATTTGGTGGAATTAGACAATAGTTTTTTGAATAATGAGCGAAACTCTCGGTAAAAGTATCGTCACTCTTTTCTTCATTCTGCACAACAGTCAGTGCAATGTTAGGACGTACTCGGTTGTGTTAAGAAGGATGGGATGTATCGGTAGCATAATTTTCACACACAACAAAGTAGTAATGTTTGTTTTTGGTTGGATTCATCTCTAAATTAAGCCAATCAATTTTAGAATTGTAAACAGGGTCAATAGGCTCGCTTGGTTGAAAAGTGATAGGTCGACGTGGAATTACCTGACCGTCTTCAAGGTTATTCTGAAACCTATATCTGTGCCTGCAGGTGTTTGTGTTAAACCTTAATTTTTTTTTTTGCTTTTCCTAAACTAAAAATTATTCGGATTATTAATAATACTTTACTTTGTACCTTCTATTAATCACAGAAGGTAGAAAATGAAGTTGGGAGGTTTCAAAGGACCCCAACTTGTGCAGGAAGCATATTTTGGCTTTTTAAAGAGGCACTGTGAGGGAGCAGTGTTGAGTCGGTTAAGCTCCTGATTACACAGGGCTAGAAATTCATTGGCTTCTGCTTGGAGTCGGAAGCATAGTTGAAGCAGTGGTGATACCTGGTGGAACTTTTAGATTTAGTCACTAAAGGGTGGAGACTGTCCAAACAGAAGGGCGATCGAAATGAATAGTGGCGAGTTCCCCCTCTGTCTCTAAAAATGTTCACCACTTTAGAGAGACCTGAGAAAGGCTGGTGTTGCTCTGGAACCAAGTTTACCACAGGCAGTCATCACAGGTCTCTCAGACTCATAGCTTCAAGGAAGACGCAAAATGTTCAGCTCAAGCACAAGTTGCCAGAAGTAGTTTCTGCAGTTAAATAGAGAGACCATACACGACAGTATAACATGTATTCACGGATTAGAGGACAACATCCATAAACTATAGTTTATACTGTTGTGGTGACTAAAGCATCCACTAGGCTTTACCATTACTCCAACAATCCTTTCTCGACTCCTTTTTAAAATAAGGGCTTAACCCGTTTAAATCATCTCGACGAGTTCTCATCACTAATGGAGGAAACAGCCAACACAAGTTCCTCTCATATTTCAACAACTCATGCTCAACGACCAAAATCAGCTTCGCTCATAGCATCTAGAGACCTTACTCGACACCCGCCGCAGGGTCTCAAAACAGTACACTGAACACGGTATACATAGCTCGCAGCCGTCACCCACCACGGGAGTCCAAAGCACAATAGCTCCCTAATAATACGAGCCCTTCTCAGGGCATTACGCGACCCAGGCCTCTAAATTAGTGTCCCCAATGGAGGGTGATTAGTAAAAGATTGTTACTATGAACATAACAAGCGATTTCCTTTTTTGCCCAACTATTCTACATCGGCAAATACTTTCTTAGTGATTTTTAATGATAACAAACTAAGGTTAAATGGTTTACATTAGTTAAAATCATATGGAATGAAGGAAAAATACCTTGTGTCTTGATGCGGACATGCTGCGATGAGGTTTGTGATGTCTTTATGAAGTGGCTACTCATTCTGGGAGCCTCGTGCAAACCACCATCTGGAAACAGGCAACGTGCTCAGGCAAACATCCATTTCGGCATATATCAAAACACTGGCAAGCTATCAAGCGCCAAATTAGTGAACCCCTCCCCCCAGAGGCTTGTTCTACTTCTGCGTATCTGACTGTTACAACTTTCTTTTGCGCCAAGACTCGTCAACTATACGAGATCCCGCTACACACCTGGAGAACGAGAGAAGTTTCCCCGACGAGATCTCAACAATTATTAATGGAGTACCGACAACTACAGCAAGGGCACTCGCAGTATTAGCCTCGACCTCGCCTTCTCTACACAGCCGACTTGGCTATTGGCCAACTGCTGCACTCGGCTACTGCTGCACCAGAGTCCAACAACTGCTTCAGAGTCAATCAACTCACTGTATACACGGCCCCCGACCTCAGCCAACTGCTCTCTCGATCACCGACCTCTACCAACGGCAAACACACGGTCCCGGCCGCATCCATCGGCTCTACCCTATCCAACAACACCAGCTCTTGTCAGGGCCACCAAAACTTCCACTAAACGGATTAAACAGGACCATAGAGTAGGGAAGTGGGTGGAAGCTGATGAAGAATTATTTTTGAAGTTAAATGACAGCCCTGACTTTTTTTCCGCGGTTGAGGATGGACATTTTTACTTCTACTGGCGTAAAGGATTTTGTTAGTGCAAAGGGATGTCAAGTTCTTCCAGTCCAGTAATAAGTCATGTTTGTCGGTGTGAAACATGTTGTGTGGTGAGCAGTTGTGATTTTCAATTTTTACACAAGTAAGGCGGAAGAGGATGGAAGGTCTTCTTCTATTTAAGAATACATAGTTGTTATAGTATCCTTTAGTCAGTTGGTTAAAACGTTTAATGTGTGACGAATATCTTGAGAACTGTCAAAATGATCTGGCCTATCTCTTTAAGGTTATCAGTATCAGTCTAATAAAATTGTCAGTTGGTTTTGTAGACTTGTGGATCATGCGGAATGTTGATACGACTGTGTGTATCTTGAATATGGGTTGTTATAGTATTTTTGTACAATAGGTTTTTAGCTAGTTGGTTAAAACGTCTCTTTTGGAATGGATACCTAGAGCGCTGTCAATATGATCTGGGCTATCACTTTAAGCGTATCAGTCGTCTAATTTTTTGTGTTCGATTTTGTAGACTTTCTTATAGTGCGGAGGGAGTTTTCTTGGTCGTCCAATTTTTTAGTGAAAGTGCAGTTTTTAGCGAAATATTTAAGTAGAAATTAATACCACAACACTGATAACGGCGAATACCAAGAATCGATTGAAGCCTCTGTCGCGAATAGACAATAACATTCGTACGAATTTGGGGGAAAATACCAAAGTTAATTACTGTTTTTGTTAATAAAATCTGTAACGTAAATAGGCCGTGGATTATAAAATAAAAAGGCCAGCTGAAAATTCGCCCAACTTCAGCGCGGGGTTGAAATTGGGTCACCAAAGGTTTCCGCGTTTATTCGACAATTTTCTCTTCCTTAAGTTGCGCCATATTATAAAATATATTACGCCTAAGATTAATTTATTTGGTTACAAGCACCTTGATAGATAATCCTATAGGGTTTTGGCCAATAAACATATTGATTACAAGACGTTTGGCCTAGGGCCATTCAGACCTAGTTGGAACTGTCGTTACTTTTTCCGTCCTTAATTAAATGGACTCCAAATAAAAATTACTTTTTAAAAAGAATTTTATTGTAAGAGCTACAACTGTTCAGACGGGGCTTACAGCAGAGAGTGATTAAAATTACAATAATAAACTTGTAGGAAGGGAAGGGGTTTTAGATTAGTTATCAGTAGACATAGTGTCAGCAGTGTCGGATTACTGTTTCCTTTCCTGTAACTCTTGATCCAAATATTTATGTGCAGTTTATTATAAAATTTTTGTTTGTAGGCATATTTATTTAAAACCGATTTCCCAATAGGATAAGGTAAAAAAACAGTAATGATGAAACATCCGTGCTACTTTACAGTCGGTTGTGCTTCAGGCCAAAAATATCGACAATTTTGTTAAATGTCCAAATTGTATATTTTAAATTGAGCCGGAGTGTTCCCGTAATAGATAATTCCGACTGGATTTATGTGAAAACTCGGTTTTTACCTTTACACAAGGATTAATGTTGAAAAAAATCAGACCTGAACCGGAAATACCTGCATATTATTTACTAATAATAAATAAATAATTAAACATTATTATATTATTATATATTTTATATTAGATTTAACATGAAATATTCTTGAATGCTCCGCATCAATGAATGGAGAAAGCTTTCTTTGTAGTGGATTAACGGATGTGGGGGAGGCCGTAAACTATGTAAGCGAGTCTTACGACTTTTCTCTCAACGGATTCGGTACAATTTGAGACAATATGGTATTTATAACATAAAAAACGGTACTAACAGAGGTGAAAACATAAATGTCGATCCATGGCATATAAATAGGTATCGAATTCCTTAGCGGGCGCTGCTATTAACAAGTCAGATATCCGGAACCAATAGCTCGCCAAATTTAGTTCGTAAAAAAAAAACTGGAAATTTTTCTGTTGCTTCTTGCCAAATACAGCCAGAAACGATGAAATTCTTAAACAACAAACACCAAACAATACAAAAAAAATATTAGAAATCAATCAGGAATAACGTTTCCCCCTAGTAAAAGAATCATAGAAAAATTCCTAAAATTTATCCATACGGATGCGAAAAACTAATATAATTTACAAAACAAACTAAAAACTGCAAACATTCATGTAAACAAACAAGAAAATTTTACAAAAATATACATAAAACAACTAATGTTAAGGAATAAAAAATATCTAAAAATCTCGGGTAGTTGATGTACCGTAAAGATTCTCATTCATGTATGTTAACTCACCAAATTATTGAAACTCCCACTAAAAGGATTGAAATCACTTGGGTTCTCGGGTCGAACTGGCTTCGATATAAAAACACGAGATTATCCCACCTAGAGCGCCAGTGTACCTAGAGGAACACTGCCAAGCGTTTCGTCCCAAACGTCTAAACTTATACTTTCTGAAAACGTGCTATTTAACTATTGACCAGGTTTTTTAAATAAACCCTTTCATTCAGCAATCCGTTACGGTCACACTTCAAACCCCTCTGACAGTTTTTCGATGTACGAGAAGAGAACAAACAGTAGTTTTAGTGTAGTTTTAGGAAATAAATATTCCCATGGGTTAAAAAAACAAGAACGCAGACACCTGTGAAAATACAAAGATAAATTGTCAGGACCCAATAGTCTTCTTTTTTTCTCATGTAGTATTTGTATATCTCCAAGCTTTCTAATATACCCAGACAGTCGTGCTAATATCAATTTAAAATAAAAAGATGTTTTGATTTTTTGGCTGAATTGAATGTTCACGGATTAGGTTAAATTAGGTAAAGTGAGCGCTTGGCAGGGTCATGTTGATTAGGTTAGGTTTGATTGAGTAGGGTTAGTGTTTGGGATGTATTAGGTACAAGTACGTACTCTTTTCGTTTTGCTCTTTGTGGGCTGGATGTACAATTTTTTGCACAACTATTTGCCTTTCATCCATTTTGAGTTACCATTGCATCATTGCTAAAAATGGTGTAAGGGGTGAGTCAAGATAATTGGGTAAGGTTAGGTTAGGTTGGGATGGGTTAGAGTTTGGGTATTGTTTGGTGAGTTAGGTTACATTTACATACTATTTTAGTATTTCTTGATCTAACATTGCTGTTTTTGGGCTACATACATTTTTGTGGCTGATCATTTTCAATTAGTTAGTTGGGGGACCGCGGTAGCCGAGTGGTTAGCATGAGAGACTCTCACGCCGCGGTCGTGGGTTCGATTCCCACCGTCGCCTCTGGCCCTTTTTTCACAATAACCCCCCCCCCAAATTTGAACACACATATATGAATTGTCACATGGCTAATATGCATAGTTCATAACGCAAAAAAAAAAAAAAAAATTCAATTAGTTAAATTACCAGGGAGTGCGTATGCATTTTGTTAAGGTGAGGGATAGGTAATGTCAGATTTGATTAGTTTAGGTTGGATTGAGTTAAGTGAGTTAGGTGATACATACTGTTTTAATATTTCTTGACTTAACATTGCTGGTTTTGTGGATTTACAATTTGGACTAGATGTACAAATTTTTTCATGGCAACTTGCGATTCATCGATGTTGTGTTTGTTACCATTGCATCATTATGCAAGGGTTGAGTAGGATAATTTATTTAAGGTTAGGATTATTTTTAAGGAAGATTATGCTTTTTTTCCTTATTGCTGATTCATCAGTTTTCTACTCAAGGGAGTGCACTTGCGCAACACCAACATACTATTTTGGTATTTCTTGATTTAACATTGCTCTTTTTTACATCACCATTTGCCCTTCATGTAGTTAGCGTTACCATTGAATCATTGTGGGAAGTGGAGCAAGAGTTGGGTCAGGAAAAGTTAAGGATAGGGTTAGATAAACCCCCTTAAACCTAACCATAGTTAGGTAGTGTTAGGTGGGGTTGGCTTAAGGATGGGCTAGATAGCTCATGTACATACATAGTGCTTTAGTATGTTTTGATTGAACATACCTATGTTTTTGGGCTGGATGCCCAATTCTTTTGTGTGACCATTTGCGTGTCATCAATTTTACGTTCCCAAGGAGTGGTGTAAAAGTTGGGTCATGAAAAGTTATATAAGGTTAAGTTGGGTTGGGTTAGGGTTATTTGTAAGGAAGGATTAGTTAAGGTTAGGAATGACCTAGTTTACATGTACATGCTGTTTTAAGATTTACTTATCTAACATTGCTAAGTTTTTGGGCTGGACACATTTTTTGGGCTGACCGTTTTTGCTTCATCGATTTCCTGTTATCACGGAGTATGCATGGGTTGAGTCTGGATAAGTAAGAATTTAGGTTGGTTTAGGTTAAGGTTAGGCTGGGTTGGGCAGGGTTAGTGTTATGTTTAAGGAAGTGTTAGGTAGGGTTAGGGTTAACGGTAATGTTAGGAACAGAATAATGTATTTTCATGTGCAAATGTGTTTGTAAGACAAGAGTGTCCATGGTGGAAGTACTCATAACCGTCTATCAGACTAGGTATTGTATATTGTATATATTAATATGTATTATAGTTGTATATGCATGATAAAGGTTATGGAGCAATATCCAGTACTCCACCACCAGGGTGAAAGTTTTGTAAATAAGAGGTAACATATTTAAGAATGAGTGATAGGGTGAATGTGTTTAGGTTAAACGTTGGGGGCTGAAATGACCTTGCTGTCAATAGTACCTCGAGCCTAACTTCAACATTGGTATGGTTAAGAACAAGGTTTGACCCCGGTTTACCAAAACACGGATGTAGGTGATTCTCCACACTTGCCACAAGACATCACAGTGGTTCTGCACATATAATCGTTGACACCATGTTAAAGTGACGAATATGGATTTCTCCACTTTTCAGGAGAGCCAAAAAACCGATTTACCCATAATCTAATGAAGCTAGAGATTCGTAAAAATGACATTACAGATTTCGGTCTACCGGTCACCGTATAGATTCAATATTTTACCACAAGGTGGGCCTCATAGAATGCAACGGTAAACGAACGAAAAAAAAAAAAGCGATTTTTCACATTCGTCACTTTAACATGGTGTCAACGATATGTACACAAGTGGATATTTGGGATGAATTGATTGATAAATTGCAAAAAAACCTGAATACCGCTAGGTGATGGTCTGAGGGTTGGTGAACTCATGCTGAACTTATTGAGTTTGTCTTCACAAATGCGTCACCTGCAAGTGAAGACGGACCCAATAAGTGACCCAGTGCCGGATCAGCATGAATTCCTGAAATGCTTAGTTAGATGTTTCTGTACGCTGCAGATTCAGGAAAGAAATACAATTGTTATATTAAATAATTGTTTATTGTTTGAACTGTTCTGTAGAGTAAACTTGTAAGTACAAAAGGTTTTTTTTAAATTATACATCCCAGTAAAATCAAAACATCATTCTGCACTGTATTATTCTTATTCCACTTTTAATGGTTTTCATCATTTTAAACATACATTCTGAGAAATAACTTTTATGACTAACAGCGATTTAATATTTACATAAACATAAACATTCTACAGTTTAAAATAAGTCGATCTCAGGATTTTTCTTTCTTTTTCTTTTTCGAAAACATACTTTACCACTCCTAGTTTGGGGAACCTATCATTGATGAACAATACCATGATCAGTTGATATAAAACCATTTCTATTTCACATTAGGCGGGATATTCTAAGTATTGCACAAAAAAATACATTCTGTACTTAAGTTAATAATAATATTGCTTTTCAAGAGTACATCAACAGTGAAATAACTATACACTGCTAAACAGTATTCAATTGATGATTAAAGCTTGTTGAAATTGCAAACTGGAGAAATAGTTTTTGGATTGATTCTGGTGACAAACTATTTTGACAATGGAAAAAGATTTTTTTTCAGAACAAAAACTTATTTTATACCTTTTATTTAAAAAAAACATGGTCATCCAACAGTTCTACACCAAAATTAAAACTGTAACAATATCCAATATATTAATTTTTTTGGGATTATTTTTCTTTTTATATTAAATAGATAATGATTATAATATTATTTACAAGATAAATATAAATATACTAACTGTAAAAATAAATTACTTCTTGATTTCTTCCTCCTAGATATATCTTTAAAAATAACAAATAAATAACTATGGGAAATTAAAACACATTGTGTTCCTAGATGCATAATTGTTTTTGACGTTACACTAATCTGACAGTCACATCATAAGCGACTAGACATTTAGAAAAAAATTAACAGTAAAACAAAAAGAAAATCTCTTGAGCACAAGGTGCTGTAAAAAATGATAAAACTACCCTGTAATAGCTTTTATAAATGTATGCATTATATTGCTAGGAAAATTAAAAATTAAAAAAAAAAAAATAGAAAGTAAAATTAAAAACGTTGAATCCACATAGGCCGCTAACTCTGGAAAAATTGAGTATAAAACGAGGAAGCAATTAAAAACTAGATTGTCATCATCCTGCACCTATGGAACAACATAATTCTTGTGTAAACACTTCATAGTATACTAAAGGGACATGGTAACTAAAAAACATTCAATTAATGAAGTTACACAAGATTACATGGCAAAGCTTTAATACAATCAGGATCATTTATAATCTTAACAGCTTCTAGAAAGCTAACAATTTACTATCAATATTACACATATCATGGTACAATAAATACAAATATTATATTATAAATTTTTCGAAGTTCAAGATGTAACTTCAGGGTTTTTTTTACACTTAAGATAATAAACCGCTTAAACCGTCATAAAAAAAATCTTGCCTTCATTCTTCTTGCTTTAATTCCATGCTTGTAAGTACAGTGCATTTAACTTCATAGGCAAGAAAAAAAGAATCCTTTTTTTTTAATTTCTCACTAATTTCACTTCCAAAAAAAAAATATTTACACCCGAATGTTCACTTTTAAGCCTACACTCACAGCACTGTACATTAAATTTTTATTAATTTTATAACATAAAATCTAATAAAACAACACCTTGTAGTTTATTAAAAAATATAGTACAAAAGTATAATGTTCTTATGAGTTCATTACTTAGATGTAAAAATTTTTGTTTTCTATTTATTAGCAAAAAAATCATCACAAATTAAAAATTCATATGCTGAGTTGGTGCTACATATGCAAAACATGTCTACCTCAGTCATAAATACAACGAACACTCCATAGTAGCGTTTAAACAAAGGTCATGAGTAGAATAGCAAAAAAGACATTGGCCTTGACACTACAATACACTCGACATTTGTCCGAGCTGTGACGAATAGCTTCACATTCTCTTTGAATCATTCATCCATTTAAACTTGTGTACATAACTATTTCTGGAAGTTTAGCGATAATTATAGGTAAAGATTTTTTTATAATATATTTATAATATATACAAGAAAACAATTTATAAAAATAAGCAAATTGATTGCAATGATAGTTGAATAGAACACAAGGTTGTTTTATCACAGTATTTACAGTCCTATGTTATGAATTCAAGTCGAGTCGTGATGGTGGGTACGTCGTTTTCTTTTATGTTTTTCGTCATTTCGAAACGTAACGTTTCCTGGATCATCTGCAAGCTGAGGATACCTCTGAACGCTGTGGATATCGACACCGTCATACCCTTCTACCCTCCCTCTTAGGAGCAGCTCTTCTCTCTCTTCCTCCGTCCACTCTCCCCGTCCTGAAAGTCCGGAAGAGACTAACGTCTTTTCGATCTCCCAAGCTCGTTCGACCGCCCTTTTATGAGCGTGTTTCAATAAGCGGTGGCGCTCCTGCTGTGGATCAGCTCCATAACGAATCGATACGACTGCATCTGAACTGTGCAATCTTAGCTCTTTTCCATCTACTGTTTCATGCGTTGAAACATTAAACATCCCACCGAGTCTTCTCAATTCTTCCAAATCGTCTTTCAGTTTTAGTGCATTATCCTAAAATTATAACAAACAGTTAAACACACATGGATAGACATATCATTCCAAACAAGAAATAATAAAGAATATCATTGCAAACAATAATCCTTCCTTTATGCTCAGGTGAATTTCTCTGTCAACTAAAGTTTCCTATTGTCACTGCTTTAACAGTGCTTCTAGCTTCCTAGCAGCAGCCAATGAACATGCAGTGGCCCTTAATGCAGGTGCTCAATCTGCTTAGATTAGACTCATTGATGAGATCCCAACTGTAAAGAAGCTACTAACAACAGCCAAAATTAACAGTGTCCTCTTAAGAGCTCAACTCATCATCCTTAGCTGACAGCCTAAGGCACACGTCCATCCATCTCAAACCTTGGTCAGTAAAGATTTAAGATAGGAAATTTTGTCTTTCCAGAAGATTTAACAGCAGTTATTAATAATCAAAACCAAAATGGTAAAACAAAAGAAAACCAAACAAAAATGGGCAACTCATTGTAAACAAGCATTGATAAGCATCACTAGAACTCTTAGGTCAGTTTGTCCTTTTTCTTTTGGAATACTTCCATAAAGAATAAGTGGTCACTAAGCTTCTCAACATATTGCCACACTACTTTATTAGTGCTAAGTTGTCAACTTTTGGTTGTTGATCAAGTTTCATGATCTGGTAAGTGATTCTTTGGTGTTTTTCCTAACCTACCAGTAAAAATTTAAACCAGGATAGACCCTCAGATAGAGTATCTTCCTCTACTTAATGAAATCTGCTCAATTTTTCTTTTACCAGTGAACTAATCCATTAGATATGCCTTTTCAAGTGGTAGTGTTTAGTCAGGAGACTTAGAAAGATCTATTTTGTTCCTCTGCTTTTTTTAGATGTCACTAGTCAGTTTTAGGCTATTGATTAAGTTCTATAGTCTAACTAGTGGTTCTTTCATGTATGAGGCAAAGATCTCCAGGCTCTATAATAGCCAGGTCCGTACAATCCAAAGTCTTCAATAGTACAGTAAATACTTTCTCCTTTGTGAAGGATCACACTGTCTTTAACATCCCAAGACTGTAAATTCCAATTTATCTTCTATCCTAGCAGCACTACTTCCACATGGACCAATGGTCTTGAACATTACAGAATAGAAAAGACCTCCAGGCTTTATAACATCCAGGACTGTACAATCCAAAGTCCTCCTTAGAACAGTAAATGCCGATACTCACCAGGGCTGGTTATCTGATGACGCCCAGGGATGACCATACTGATGGCCATATGATAACCATGATTCAAAGAAGTGAAACCATTTAACACATGGTGCTTGGTATAACTTTTATATACAATTTTCCAAATATAAAAATAAAAGTCTACCAATATTTTTACTTTTTAGCATACTAACCTTGACAAAATAAAACATATCTTGATCATGCTGGGTAAAATGAAGGTCTAGAAAATGTGAATGGTTAAAAACTGATGTTACGACATCTTGGACGACTGTGTTGACTCCTTCAACAACCGAAACTAAGGCTCTCCCATTGACTCTTGACAAAAGCACCCCTTCTCCAAAGACCGACCTTCGGTAGGCAACTCTAGGTAGAAGGTTTCTGGTCCTCGCTTCCATTTTCAATAAAGGCTGAGGTACAAATCCAAGTGACTTGAATTTATCAGAAACCTAGGGGGGGAAAAAGAATAAAAGTTAAAATGTTTATGATAAAGAATTTACAAAATTGATTTACCCTATCAATTATGCATTGAAGTCCGGACATAACACCGAAATCTGGTGCTAACTGAGGAGATGTGACCTTGGCAGTCGGTTGATAAACCATCTGCTTCACATAAGATGAACCAAGAATGTTTTCAATGTCATAACCATAAAGTTTAAGCCAACTTCCCAAGTCTAAAACATTATTTTTAACAATTTATTAATAAATGCATATATTAATTTATCTGTTATAAAAAGTGAAAAGGACCTGTCATGTAGTTGACAGTCTGTCGATTCAGTGGATTTATTGGGTCATTATTCTGGAATCTATATATAAATATATCGGTAGGCGATGTTAGCTGATTAGCCAGTCTTTCCCATTCTGGTGTGATCCACTGGCCGAACATCGGATCATACCAGCGTTTACGCAGGTACAAAAATCCTGTGTGAGGATCCGGGATGCCTCCTTGATAACCAACAAGCACTAAGAAATCAGGGTTGGTGTCTGAAATTAAATGTCCGAATGGAGACCGTCTGAATTCCTTTATGATGTTCCCGTTGGCATCGAAGAAAGAAAGCGGAGAACCATTTTGATCAGATGCAACATAAATCCTAAAATATAAGATTAAATGATTAAATACAGCAAATAAAATCCTTAATTATGTAATAGGTATTCTGGTCAACAATTCAACAGCGATACAGGTTAGCTCTGCACTCAAAACACTCTCACTACCCTATAACCCTCCATTCTATTGCGGCAAGCACAAAATTTATTTATGTATTTATTATTAAGTACATCATGATTAAAACACAAAAGTGCCTAAAAGAAAAAAAAAAAATAGATGCGAATGCGAGGGGTTTAGGTTAGCAGGAGAGAGTGAAGAGAAAGATCTAGTTGGCCAGATCACAGTAACAAAAAATTATATCCACCTTAGCTCGGTTGTTTCTATAGCGACAAGGATTCCTCGGTCATCATATAAATATTTAAAGGTCTGCCCATTGTGTGGGAAGTGTAAATGTGTTACGAGGTCAGGTCTCATCGGGTCTGAGTATAGAAGTTGATACGTGTTCCCTTGGGCATTATGAATAGCTATCAACCTTCCTCTATCATCGTAACGATACCATGCAGTAAAATGTTCATTTTCAGTCGCACTGCTCAATTGACCAAGCTCATTGTAACGGAGTTTGGTTTCACCCCTTCGAACCACAAATCCTCTGGCGTCGTATCCATTGAGTTCAACATCTCCGACCTTGATGAATTTAAGATTAATACTTTTGGCACTATTGTTAAGACTATTTTGTTACATACCTGGACAACGCGATCCCCACTGTCATATCCGAGCGTAAGCTTCCTGCCTTTATCCATTATACTAATGATATTACCATTTTCATCATATACAAATTTCCATTCACTTTCACCAATAACCTCCATCACATGCCCATCGGCGCTGTATGTAATACGTTCTGTAGTTGTGGCTCTATGAGTTTGTATTTTAATAGAACTAATTCTACTTCTCACGTCATAATCTAATTCCATTCTAAAAATCAGAATAAAAAAGGGTAATACAGATACTTATCGACTATAACACAAAAGTCAATTACCTGAATACATCTATACTTTTGATATTTACTAAAACAGTTTTTATTCTTGCATGAGAATCATATTCAGTAATTGTAAAGAACTGCTTTCCGGCGTCTTGTATGACGGATCTGTTGAAGCTGTTTCGATATATCCTTAAATCACTGATGCCTTCAAGTACGCCAAGATTCTGAGAGTATTTGACTCTCAGTTGTGACAATTCTTTACCGTCGATGTCGACATCAATACCAGATATACGGGCGTTTCCATCGTACTGATATCTATGTTAAAAAATGACATTTTAGTAATATAACTTGTATTAGCTGTTTAACCAAAGAAAGAGATTAAGTAATTATTCAGAAATCATGAGATGTGGTCTGGTGTGATGTAGGTTTCAGAAAAATATATATACATATTTTGCATTGTATAAATTCACTTTTCCACATCCTAAATGTATTTGTAAAATGTAAACAATGTTTGTAAATCCCAGGCCCTGAAGATGATCTCAATAAAGATCGAAACGTAAAGAAAATGTTTTTCTGAAACCTACATCACACCAGATCGCATTTCACGATTTCTGAATAATCATCGACTAACGGTCACTAATCACCACACACACAAAAAAAAATTCTGGTTGAAAAATTTTTAAGAAACAAATTTTGGGCTGCAGAAAACGAATATCTTTGTTTCTAACTAAAAACAAAATATTTTAATCTAAGTTTCTCGGTCTCAAATAGCGAATTGGCCGGGGGGAAATTTTTTTTCTCCGTTTGATTGTTGTTCCACTTAAAAATTCATAACTCCTCTGTTTTTTTGTCCAAATCCAACAGTGTTAGCAAGTTGGAAAGATATCTCTCTACTTTTAGACTATGTCAACAATTAAGTTTTATGTTTTTATAGGATCAGAGTCATTTTCAAATTATCATTTAGAGAAAAAATGTAATTTTTTTCATTTTTCCAAACGTTTCTCTTCTGAGGTTTTTGAAATTTGTTGTAAAAAAAAAAAAGAATATCAACTTTTTTCTTTAATTGAAATTATATTAACGTTTAAGAAATTTTTAACCTTTGGGGCGTCGATGGCCGCAACGATATAGGCGTTGACACGGCGCTCAACACTGTAAGGTAAAGGTACCGGGTTCGAATCCAGGGGCCCTGCATTCGAATCCAATATACTTACAAATGGGCTTTTTTTCAAAAGCATTGGCACCCCGAGGGTTCATATAACCTCGTAGTTGAAATACCCTCTTAAAAAAAAGGAAAAAAAAAATAAAAATTTAAATAGTTAAATTATTGTTTTAGACGTTGTGCTACGTCGGGCGGTCTCAAATTGTCATATAGTGTTTTTCATATATGTTTTTCTGAAACCTACATCACACCAGATCACATCTCACGATTTCTGAATAATTATCGATTAACAGTCACTAATCACCACACAAAAGAGATTAAGGATAAACCAACAGGTGGAGGAGCAACCTGACATAATTACAACGCAACCAGGCACCTAGGTAATATTTTAAAACAGAATATTTGAACTTACCTGTAGTGTGTATTATGAAGTCCTGATTTACTTCCAAACTTGAGTTTTTCATCTTTGAGAATTCCTATGTGGTATCTAAATTCATGTTTTAGTTCAAAACTGGGCTCTATAATGTCAATATTTTTAACAAGATTAGTGCTCTCTTGATATGTATAGTGAATAGACGATAACCCTGTGGACATATTAAAAAAAATTGACAATTTTTCTAAAAAAGTTGCTATTTAATTACAATACATACCTGCCAACACAGTGTCCAGTTTTCCAGATTGGTCATATACATATGCCACTCGACCAGACTGATGTGGATATAATTTGGCTAAAATTTGCCCATCATCATTGTACCTTAATTCAAACGGATGTCTGCTCATCGGCGAATAATATTGGTATTTGAAAAAACCCAGTGATGTCTGTAAAGAGAATGTATGTATGTGCCCTCTAGGAGTTGTTAATGATTGTAAAGCTCCTGCGTCATCGTATTGTAATAAATAATCACTTCCTCTTGGTGTTGTAACTTTAAGTGGCTGAAAAATAAATTTTAGTTAATACATTTACTTGGTAAAGGTGTGATTATATCATACCAAGCTGCTGAACATGTCCTTAAATGCGTAGAGTGTCGATGTGCCATCTGCATACCGTATTTCAGATAAACGTCCAGCACGATCGAACACATAACTTTCACTTAGTTCTCCCCATTTCCAAGTACTAAGCCTGCTAAATCTATCGTACTCAAGTTCAACCCCAGCAAATATTCCATTTCTTTAGTGAAAGAAAGCATAAATTAATTTCAAGACAGAAAATTAAAAAAACATAAACACAAACCTTGGTCCCCACTTAACAGGTCTTGCTGTTTTATCATATGTCACGTTAATTAACTCAACCCTTTCATCAAAGAAAACAGCGACTGTGCCAGTTCCACGATCGTATTCAAGAGTTAGTAAATTTTCACCGTTTACTCTTAGCTTGCGGCCTACTTGAATTACTCCTTTGCCTTAATAATAAACAAATAAAATAAATTAAATAATCTAAATCTCTATAGTATTTCTAACTCACCTGAAGTTCTAGTTTTAGCTCCTGGTGCTCTTCTCATGAAATATCGCCATTCAAATCTATTAGCAAGGTCACCTCCAATTTCTGTTTTTTGTTTGGCTGGGACTGGATAGCTTTCTCCTAGTACAGGGTCGATTTCCCCAAGCACTGAATAAGCCACTGTGTCTGTGCTGATTATATGACCCCAAGGCCATACAGTTGTTACGCTGCCATCACTAGATACAAACGTCTTTTTCTCTGCTTCTCCTTTAAAATCAAAAAATTAAAAATTTGATTATCTGTTTAAAACAATGAAGTCCTTTCCTGGCAGTGCATAGAATAAATTTTACCTAGTTTTGTTGATACAGAAGCACCTTTGATAATCATAGTTGTAGGCTGATAACTATCGTGAGAAACTTGTACCATAGCACCCTTCTGGCTTAAATCAAACGATAATTTGATAACTTTCCCTGTTGGCGTGACAGCCGTGGTGAGTCGGCCAAACTCGTCGTACGAATACACATAGGATCTTCCAGCTGAATCCAGTTTACTTCGCAATAATCCAGTTGGCCCGTGATAATCAAGTGTAACATTGTAATTATCTGGTGTACTTAGTTCATTAAGTAATCTCATTCTTGACATCCTCAGTCGGCATTTTTGACCTTTAGTGTTTTCTATTGAATTGACCTGTGAAACATCGAATATTGAATAATTTATCTAATAAAAAAAATTAATCTATTAAAAATTACATACTTGACTAGTATAATCGCGAAGTAAAAAGACTTTGTTTCCAGCGGTGTCGGTCACCGTGCTCAATTTTCCATTGCTTGTGTTAACATTGTATGTAAACATGTAGCTGGTTTCTCCAGTGAGTATATTTTTAGTGGCAATGTGCTGTCCGAATCTGTTGAAAACGTAAAGCTCTTGCGTTTCTGGAGAGTAAACTTCGTACTCTCGAGATGGATTCGCTTCTGGTATGCTTGCAATTACCGACCTTATCCTGAAAACAGATATCACATAAGTTAATATTATTTTCATTTTTGTGTGCGTTTGTGTGTGATAAATACCTGTAATTTGCTTGGTCAGCAATGTGAAGAATTCCATCAGGCGAGACGACCACTGATGAAATCGTATTGAATTTAGAAGTTGACGCTAAGAAATGGTCTTGTTCAAAACAGTCACAACCTCTATCTAAGCAATTACACTTTGATTCAGCACCAGCATAATGGCTTATCTTTCCATCAGTTCCTGAATAACATTATGAGCATAAATTTCAAAAACTTTCAAAGCTAATGGGGTTTTCCTACTTACCAACTACTCGAACTCTATTGATCCTCTGTGAATCACTTTCTGCAATGTAGAGATCACCTGATGGTGAAAATGCAATGCTTTGTGGCATTACAAGTGTAGCCTGAGTAGCGAGTTCAGAGTCCAAACCTCGTGCTTGGCAGTGTAAAGGTCTACCAGCTACGACTTTAACTCTTCCATCACCAGTTAACTTTAAAACCATATGATCATCAACAATATGCAAGGAATTGTCCAGAGGGTTGATAGCTAAATCAGTTGGCCATCTTAAATGAACCTAAAACAGAACATTTTTTTTAATATAAAGTTTGTAGCCTGTACAGCAATCCAATCACAATGTTGACAAAACGGCCACTACTGCACTCGGACACAGGATAAAAAGAACGAGTCAACGGTGAGACACAATAAGATGGATTATGGGAATAGAAGGTCTCGAGGCTTGCTTAAGGGAGAGAAAGGGTAGACATGGCTTGAGCAGTAGGGTTAAAATGGATTGACAGTATGAAAATTGGAAGCAGGATTGGAACAGTTCATTAACAATAGGAATGTTGAGGTTGTAGATAGTGAGGTTAGCACAGTGAGGAGCTTTGACAATTTTTCTGAGGATTTTGGACTCAGGACAGTTCTACTCTGCCTGTCTAGAGTGTGGTGTATAGTGTTATCTGAGTTTCGAAAGTCAAAATAGATTTCATTCATAAAAGTCTTTGTAGTGTCCCAAGTCTTCTGTTAAAGGGTAGAAAGTAATAGAGGCCACCACCGTTTAAGGCTGCGTGTCATGTTCTGGAGATGGGAAAGTGTGGAGAGGGCATGGTAGCAGGGTTAGAATGCCTTGAGAGGTTGCTATGGATGAGCATATGGTGGACCGAAACAGTTCAATAACAAAAGTGATGTTGAAGTTGTGGATAGTGAGGCTAGCATAGTAAGGAGCTTTGATGAGTTTTGTCAGAGGACATTGGATTGAAGGAAGTTCTACTCAATATGTCTAATATGGGCTTAGTAGAGGTCTTGGCATGGGAAAGTTTAGAAAGGACATGGGTAGTTGGGTTAGGATGGATTGAGAGGTTGCTATGGATGTTTGGGAGCTAGATCGGAGAAGTTTGTTGATGAAAGTAATGTTGAGGTTGTGGATAATGAGGTTAGTGTAGTATGGAGCTTTGATGAGTTTTGTCTGAGGACATTGGACTGAAGGAAGTTCTACTCAGTATGTCTAACATGGGCTTAGTAGAGGTCTTGGCACTTCTTGGTTCTTGGGATGGGAAAGTTTAGAAAGGACATGGGTAGTTGGGTTAGATGGATTGAGAGGTTGCTATGGATCTTTGGAAGCTGGATCGGACAAGTTTGTTGATGAAAGTAATGTTGAGGTTGTGGATAATGAGGTTATCAATATGGAGCTTTGATAAGTTTTGTCTGAGGACTTTGAACTGAAGAAAGCCTCATGCCATTACCTAAAGTAGGCTCAGAATAGAACTCAGTGATCCTCGATTCTTGGGCTGGGAAAGTATAGACAGGGTGGGTAGTAGGATTAGGATAGATTGATAGGGTGCTGTGGGATGTTTGAAAACTGAAAGTGGTTGCAGTCATTTCTTATATAGAGTTAAAACTTTGACAGTCACAACAGATTTCAGTCCTAAATGTCTTCATTTTGAAAAGGTCTTTTGCTAAATTGTTGTCTCTTAAGTCTTGTGTGGGGATTCCTTGTAAGTGTGCTGTCTAACTATAGCCCAAAGTAACTGACTTGAGTTGTAGTCTCTTTGTTGATGTAAGTGGAGAGCAAGATTTTTAAATATAAAAATACACTTTGTCCTCCACTTTTCGCATTAGGCTTTGATAAAATCAGGGTGTTCTTGGATGTTGCTTGGAGAGGATTCACATAGCAGATAGAATGGTGCCATTTGATGGTGTTGAAATGTAAAGTCAGCAGCATAAATGATTTTTTTTAACACTTACTTCTTCAACATTTAATGTTCCTTCACAAGGAATAGGCTTCCAGTGGCTTTTATGAATATGATTTCCTATAACAGTGGTTACTATTCCATCACGGTCAACCATCCTTATATTAGTGCCATCAGCAAAATACAATACATTGTCAGCTGACACTGCAACTCCTAAAAAAATTAATAATCTTGTTAAAGACACAACACAAATTAAAAAAAAAGTATGATGAATAGAAAGGATTTGCCTTTAGGGTAAGCAAGTTTAGCATCTCTGGCGAGGGCACCATCACCGCAGTGAGCTTCATCTCCTGGCAAACATCTTTCTCCAGAACCAACAGCTGTGTCCCAATTTCTTTCAGGGTCGGAAAAGTCATCAGTGTAACGAACTCGTAAAATCTGATGAGATTCTGGATCAGAGATGTATAAAGTACCATCCAATGGACTTAATGCGATGTGGTATCGATATGCAACTCTTGTAACACTACAATAATAATACAAATATTTAAAATAGGACCAATTAATTATATTTTACAAATTAAAAATAAAGCTTACTTTAATCTAACAACAGTTCGAACACTTCCATCGATCATTATCCTCCTGACAAGATTGAAGTCACCAACATAAATTGATCCATCAGGGGCCGATGCAAGAGCAACTGGCGCGAGCAGTCTTTGTTTGGTTCCAGCAGTTCCATCGCAGTCAGTACAGTCAAGAGGACGCTGGTGGCCATCACCCAACGTTGTTTTAACAACACGAGGTTTATGTTTCAAATAGATATTTGTTCCATCTCCTTTTTGAAGGATTCCTAGTATAATAAAATATATCATGATGTGCAAATATTAAAATCAGTTCATGATAAATATACAAATTTTATAGAAAAAACTTGAAATATTTGTGCATTTCCGATCATCCTGATCTGCCACTTGTAATACCTCTGAAGATAGGGAAATGACAAACGAAACCAATGAGAATAGGTAGGTCAGAATGATCATTGATGATAAAACTACAAATTTAAATCAAAGTATATCTTGTGTAAGTAGTAGAAAATATCCAACTATTTTAAGATTCCAAGTTGTCATTTCCAGTTCAAGATTAACTTTCCAAAGGCTGTGCCGGGATCTGAACCCTGAACAGCTAGCATGGCAAATACAGTCGGATGTAGCCACATTGGCCACCGCGGTACTAAAAGTAAAGTGTTTCCTGTCAAACAGGAGAGGTTGAGAGAGCCATTGGGTATTGCAGACAAAGTATAATACTTAGGAATACTTTCTCCATATTATTCATAATTAAAATTCCATAGGTTATGCTGGGATTCAAACCTAGAACTTCCAAGCATGGCAAATACAAGTCAGAAAACTTAACCACTGGGACACCGTGGTCCCTAAACTAAAATAAATCCTGTCATACGGTAGAATTTCTTGTCCAACTACCCTTGGGTGTTGTGGGCAAGGTGTCAAATGACTTGACAATATTTTCTCTATATTATTCATAATTAAAATTCCATGGGTTATGCTGGGATTCAAACCTAGAACTTCCAAGCATGGCAAATACAAGTCAGAAAACTTAACCTCTGGGACACCGTGGTCCCTAAACTAAAATAAATCCTGTCATACGGTAGAATTTCTTGTCCAACTACCCTTGGGTGTTGTAGGCAAGGTGTCAAACGACTTGACAATATTTTCTCTATATTATTCATAATTAAAATTCTATGGGTTATGCTGGGATTCAAACCTAGAACTTCCAAGCATGGCAAATACAAGTCAGACAACTTAACCTCTGGGACACCGTGGTCCCTAAACTAAAATAAATCCTGTCATACAGTTGAATTTCTCGTCCAACTACCCTTGGGTGTTGTGGGCAAGGTGTCAAACGACTTGACAATATTTTCTCTATATTATTCATAATTAAAATTCCACGGGCTATGCTGGGATTTGAACATATGACCACTAACATTTCAAATACGAGTCAGACTTCATAACCATAAATGATTTTTAGCTTAAATAAAAATAAAATGTGCAGTTACCTTCATGAAAATTATACCGATGGTGAATATCTAGATTCCATCCACCGACTTCAGAAATGCTCATATCGTGTCCACTGAGTTTTGTGGTTTGAACGTCCCACATTACATCTTTACAATCTGCATATTCATAGCCAACTTTCACCAGCGCTGTAGTCACTCCATAAACACGTTGCCTTCAAATTTGTATTTTTTTAAAATAAATACTTACAGAAACACGTGAATAATGCTTTAATTCTTATTATCTTCACCTATAAACGTTAAGCCTATTCCAAGCGTATGTAAATTTGATGACGGGATCAGCTTCAAAGGTCTTTTCGAATAGAATCCCCTCGATTGTTATACGTAAATGGATGAGTTTTAAACTTTGGGGTATTTTTTCAGGTGTAAGTTGCAGTTGGATGGTAGACAGGTAGCCCGAAGCTCTCGAGCTGTGATAAACAAGGTTCAACCCAGTTCCAGGGATTTGGAAGCTTTCTTGAACAACCTTCAAAATAACAATAAATATAAGTACAAAGTTTTAAAATTAGTATTTTTTCACATTTACCTGTGATTCGACTAGAATAGCACTTTTGTCAGGGCAGGAGCCTTGAAATCCATGCTTCCAAGTTGCTAAGACAACTGCCCTCATTGTGTCGTAATCATGAGCTCGACATGCATGAGGGCCAAGTTGTGTAGGCTTGTCTTCACCAGTCCACATAGTCACAGTATCAATTATAACAACCTTTAATAGCCATACATTAAAAATTAAACTTAACAGAAAAATAATAATGAAAATAAGGCCTACTTCATTCCAGGGTACATTAACAATATAGCTTTGAGGTCTGAAAGGGCTCCGGCCAAATTGTAACGTTACCGCTCCTCCTCCGTTAACTAACAAATCAAACCAACCATCTTCTCTTGTCAATGTGAACCCTTCTGATTTCGACGTGCTAACTCTCACACCCATCAGTCCCATGCCGATTGTAGTGACAACACGTCCTCTGACAACACCTGCACGGCTGTATTAAAAAAAATAAAAAACTGTTTTAAAATAATTTACAACCAATATTTATTGCCACATTGTAAGATCGAGTTGAATCAAATATTTGACTTTACAAGAAATCTTGGTTGAAGAGATAATAATTTAAAAAACATACTAAATTGATTAAAAACAAATCTTGCATTTCAAGAGAAGCAACATTTCATTGTTTTAGTTAATTATTATTTTTATGAATATTTGGCAAAAATATTGGGTCGTAAAATAAGTTTGTAGAGTTTTTTAATGATAAATTCAATTAAAATGTCCATTTAATTCTGAACATCTGTCCTCCCACAATTTCTCAGGTTTTTGAGCAATCACCTCTTTGATTTGTATCCTTCATAGCCTTGAATAAGTGAAAATCATAAGGGGTAATGCTTTTGTAGCACAACTCAGCGAAGCTTCAACAATTTCTGACTCGTGACACAAAATATGGAAGCGAGCGTTATCCAGGTGGAAATGGATCCTCATGCAATTAACCAATGTTTTCGGTCAATAGCTAACTTTAATCGTACTGATTGTGTGGATTCTGGAATTAACAGTTCGGTTGGCTGAAAAAAAGCTCAAAATAAATTGCCCTCTTCCAATCACCACAAATGCACATTTTCTTGGGATTTAATCTGGCTTTTGAACTACTCAGCAGTTTGCTCCGTTTTCTCTCTGAAAATTGTTGTAACAACTTTTCATCTTCAGTTAATTCTTTTAAAAATGGATTGTTTTAATTGTGTTTTAGGAGAGAATCTCAGATGGAAATGAGGTTCAATTAATTTTTCTCAGCATGTGAGGAATATTGATGGGACATATGTCATATACAGATATCTCAGCTAATTTTTCTTCTTCACTGGTGCCCAATGTCTTCTTTTCTTCCATTGGGACCTATAACCTAAAAGATGTTTTGCGATGTTGACCCTTCTTTACTTCCAAACTTTGAAAAGTGAATTACTTTAAGATAGTTAAGCACTTTCGAGGATTCTTCTTTGCTTATTTCTTTAGGAGTTACTATCACCTTTCTAAAAAGGCTCTATCAATTCATGTTTTGCAATCACAAAGGGCAAGTACTGATGCTTCTGCCTCTTCCATGATAGAGTTTGCATGTTTCTGTCTCAATTTTCCCATTTTTTTGAGATAATAATTAAATAAGCAACGGCCAAGTTTCCTTGCTGAGAGAGAAGTAAATTTTTGTCTTCCCGGTTGAAAAGTTAAGGAACTTTTTTAATTGTTTCATGCCAAGTGAATTCAACCAGAAGGCATCTATTCATTTCTGCTTGTAAAAAAATTGCGTGTGTGCCAAATTGTGGTTCCAGTCCAAAGAGAGTTAGGGTTGATCCTGTTTTTGCTAGTTTGTCAGCATATTTGTCTTCAATCTCCTGGTACTCACTCAAAGTTACTCGATTTCGTTTTCCCAGAAGCTGGAAAAGCACCAGGCATCTCCATACCTGGGCTTCTTGAATGAGGAAGAGTCTAAAGTCTTCAATATCCCAGTTTGGAATAATGACGGTGGGGGCCTAGAGGTATTGCTAGGTAAAAATTTGGGCCTATGACTCCTCAGATGTTTAAAACGCTTTTATGATATATTCACTAATTTCGTGGTCCGCTTGATCAATTTCCGCTTGAAAAATGGCAAAAAGGAGGGAAAATTCAAAAAGGTGCGGTTGAGATGGGAAGTTGGTGTCCGAGTGGATCGAGGTCACGATAGCTCAAGTGGTAGAGCAGCGGCGTATCAAGCCGAAGATCGTGGGTTCGAATCCCGCTCGTGCCATTGACTTTTGTATCTCAACTAAAAATCATAATTAATTGTAATGATTTAATTGGTCAAACAGACCACAAAATTAGTGAATTTAAAGAATTAATATGAAGTACACTTCACTAAAGCTCTCCGTGGCCATTTCAATTGTCGTCGAGAATCCAAACCGATTACACGACATTTGAAAAATGGCAAAAAGGAGGGAAAACTTATACGGTGGGGTTGAGATGGGGAGTTGATGTCTGAGTGGATCGAGGTCACAATAGCTCAAGTGATAGAGCAGCGGCGTATCTAGCCGAAGATCGTGGGTTCGCATCCCGCTCGTGTCATTAACTTTTTTTCATCTCAACTAAAAACCTTAATTAATTGTAATAATTTAATTGGTCAAGCAGACCACGAAATTAGTGAATTTATGATGTATGTTAAGTGTCTCTGTGATGTCTGGTGTAGATGAAATAGAACAAAAGCTTGAATTTGGTTATCATCGTGGTTAAAGGTTGAACAGAGCTCTTTGCATCTATCATAATCAAAATGTCCACTTAAGGACGGTGCTTACTCAAAAATGTCATCTCCATTTTTTCACCACCACATCAAAAATCTTGCTAGCAGTCTTTGCAGTAGATTTGTGGTAGAAAAAAAGAAAAAGACAAATACATTTATTCTCCATTTTAAATTAGCAAGACACCTTGGAAAAATACAAGATCTCCAATGAAACTGAAGACGTGTAAAATCGAATTGGACTTATTTTACAACCTAATACAAAGAAATATTAAAGCTTTTTTTATGCTGCTTGTTAGATCACGAGTAAAGATGATAAATACAAGGTTTGTTGAATCATACATAATACATGGTAAAAAATGGTCTTTTTTTAAGGTAACAACAAAAAAATACATAAAAAAGCATTCAATATATAAAGAAGCAAACTAAAAAGTCACGAAACACTAGGATCAAGGCAGGGTGGGATTTATGGAAACAAAAAACATGCCAAACTACAATTGTTCTCTCACATCAAAGATGTATGAGTTTTTACAAAAAAGAATATGTGTAATCATCTATAGTATTTTTTTTGTAGTTGTTACAGAATGATTACTTTCTTTAAATAAAATAACCCCAATTTCAACAGTAAATCAATTTTTGAAGTGTATCTACAATGTTTTAGATTTTTTTCAGCACCCAATTTCATGCGTTTTATATTTAAAAAGAATCATTTCATTATCTGCCAATAGGTCAATGATTCGCGAAGGAAAATAACAGCCAAATGTATTTTTCAATATGATATACATTCTAATTCAGTTGTATGAAAACAAAAAAACAATCGGTTATATAAAATACTAAAGAATTATGACACTGCAAATGACAAATACAAACCATTGAAATCGTGAGAATTTGTAACATGAAAAATTCGTTAGCTCAGTTACCTCTGGCTGTTATGTTTAATAATTTGGCAGATAACTGACAGACTCAAAAAGTATACTATTAATGCATTTAGTGAGCAACTTATGGCCTAGCTTTAATGTACCTTACCTTGCATTGAAGTGGTTCCAAAACACACTAGCAGCATTAAGAAGAGAATGCCATTACCATGTTAGCTAACTTCAAAATTATTAATCTGACAAGCTTACATGGTGTTAACAAACTGATTGTTATTATTGTAATAACAGCAGTTAATTTTAAAACACATAGTTCACTTATTTTTACCTTTTTTGAAGGCTAGGAGTTTGTTTTTATTCATTAAATTAATAGAAGTACTGTAATAGATTAAGAGACTTCAAGTTGCAAATAAGACAATTTAAAAACAAAAATGCCTTCAACAAAAGTAAAAATCTGTGGTAAAAACAAATATGAGTTAGAGAGGGAATGAGATATCACAAAGGGCACAATAAAGCAATAAGATAGAGAAAGAGCCACGATTAAAATGCTCAACAGATGACAGTGGACAGGAATAAATTATCTAGTCTAAAAGGTAATTTTCTAGGTAAAACAGTTATGAACATAACATTGCTTAACATATAAAAATTCCACTAAATTTTTGTGGAAGGGGAAGTCAACGCACCACATTTCCTAAGTCCCAGGATGCGATAGAAAACAAATATTCAACAAATCAGCAGAAATTCAGCCTTGAGAACATTTTTCCCTCTCGCATCCCGTAGCATTTTTGAATACGAGTTAATACGGTCAATGTTCTTCGTACATACCTCTCGTTAAAAGATTCTTGCCGAGCATAATTTTGCAAGCTCCCTTCCTCAATTAGAAATTTCATTCTTTCAAAAAATGACGCTGTTATTGCCGGAGGTTGTTTACGGAGTAAGATATCGATTGGTTTCGGTGCTGAAACACAGAGCTGACTGCTCCGACAGAGATGGTTAGAACAACATTCAGGGTCTTCACAATCCATAAGACCATCTAAATTAAAACAAAAATTAATGAGCAAAGGTTTTAGTTATTAAAAATATGTAAATGAAGAAAAAAACCTTTATCGTTGTCCTTTCCATCATTGCAGTTTTGTTCTAATAAAACGCTGCAGTCTCGTCCGTCCCATCCATCACTGCAACGACATTCCCAGAGGCTATCGCTATTTACGCGGCATTGGCCATGACCTGAACATCCATGCGGACAACCTTCTTGGGTGCAGTGCTTACCATTCCATCCAGTAACACAAAGGCAGGTGCCGTTTTTACATTGGCCATGCTCATTACACCTGAAAAGATTAATTTGAAATTAAAATAAATTTTGTTTTATATTACAGCTTACAACATAATTTTGAACCGGTACTTGGTCTATTGTATCTATTCGTGGGTTGATGTTACTCAACCCCATTTCAACTTTGTGTATCTTCAGAGAGTAACTAAAGTGACCGAATACAATTTTTTTAAAATAATTCTGCATACTGTACTTTACTTTTTGCAATAAACTGGACTTTACGTACAAGTTTTTTTTTTAAATTTAAAATCACAACAAAATAATACCTTTGATCACATTGTTTCATGTTGCAATATTCTCCTCCCCAACCAGACATACAGACACAAGCATCTCCCACACAATGCCCATGGGGTCCACAATCTAGATCGCACAGTTCTGTTGGTAAAAGAAAAAATATTTTATTAATGACGTGCCAAATAAAAAAAAAACAACTAAACTTAACTAATAATTTGATATACATTTATATAATAAAATTTGGAAATATATAAATTTTCTTTTTAGAAAACGGATTTAATTAGATTAGGTACGATGGCGTACCTATGAAATGCTTTCGCCTCTCACCTCTGGAGCAGTCCTCGCCTGACCACATAGGTTCACACGTGCAGGTTTGAGTTTCAACGTCAAATTGCCCGTGTCCTGAACAGTCCGGAAGACACTGCAAAGCCTCGTTATCTGTCTCGCTACAATCCGTGCCTTTCCATCCTTTTTTGCACAAACACACTCCTTCTGCGCAATAACCATGGCCCATGCATGTCGGATGAGGACAGTCGACTATTTGCAATGAAATAAAAATATTAATGGAAAATTAGGTTTAATAAAATATTATTGTGTGGCTTACCTTCTTCGCAAAATCGACCTTTGTACCCGCGGGCACAAACACATTTACCGTTAGTGCATTGTCCGTGTCCATTGCAATCAGGCACTTCACATTCGTCATGTCGTAAACTGCATTCTTTCCCTTTCCAGCCTGGATTGCATTGGCACTCGCCATTTATATACTCTCCTCGTTGGCTGCATAGCACAGGGCATACACCTTAAAAAAAATAAACATAAACATTGATAGAAAATCAGAAAATTTAATTACATAAAATTTAACATCAGACATACTTTCACTACAGTCTTCTCCACCGAAACCAGGATTGCATTGGCAATGGCCGACTAAACATTGACCTTTCCCACTACAACCGCCTGGACAGCTTTGCGTCATATCTTCTGAAACTGAAGCAACGAAAACAATTTCTTGGGGATCACCGTCATCATTATACAAAGAAAGAAACCAATGTCCTGGTTCCAAGTAATGCGTTACTTCTTTTTTAACAACAGACTGAAATTAAAATTTTCGATTAGCATAAAAACAGACTGTAAAATACAAAAATTAACACATACATGAGAAGCACGAGTACTCCGTGCCTTAAAACCGTTTAAAACTTCCAGTATATGGTATTGCGTATGCGTAGGTAAAGCATTCCTTCTTCCGTAAACTGCTATGCTGGCTCCTCTTGGTATATTATAATCAAACTTAACATACGCAGGCTCAGATTGGTAAAACTGCATATTCCAATAACCATAAGGAGGGATTTCATTTGTTAACTGCTTTCCTAATGTAATTTGTGCAAAAGTAGTTCCATCTGGAGGGAACGATCGAGCAGGAAATGTTTTCCCACCTTTGAAGAAATAAAATAACAAATTAGATTCACTTTAAACACAATTGTGTATTAATTGATTATATAATTAAAGAAAGTTAAGAAATAGAAAACCTACAATTTGCATGCAACTAAAAACTGCTACTTAAAAAAAAATCTACACCCAAAAAGATTTTATTGCTTAAAAGGCTAATGCAAAATTAATCTATAAAGGCAATCAAATTCTAAAATAAAAATTGATTTAAAGAAATCGTAGTTGTTTTACATATTATATATTTGAATAAGGTCCAAGAATGATTACTTCTTTTAATTTAATGTTAAAAACAAATATTTTTTCACAGTCAAATCAAGTGAACCATAACTTAACAAATGACTCTATAAAAATTATTTAGGTTTATTTATTCTTCCTACTAGTAGACTTATCTTATTAAATTTGTTTGTAAGTTTTATTTGATTTTTTCAAATAGCTCTCGATTAAATGTTAATGTTGAATTCACACCTTTACACTAAGCACTGATACGTCAAAGAGTCACATGGAGACTCCTAAGATGACCTTTTGGTCATGACCATATGCAAGTAACACATTGTGGCAATAATAGAAAAAAGAAAACAGATCAATAATAAACAAATAATAGAACTGTACTAATACTCCAGTTACTATAAAAAAAATTGAAGAACAGTGACCACCTACTAGATCATTAAAAAAAAAGGATCGAGTCAATTGAATTGAACTGAGGAACTGGGAAAAGTACAGGCTACAAAGCTGTAGTGCTCGGAGAATACCAAAACCTCCTTACTAGAATCCTCATCATCATCATCATCATTATCATCTATTAATTGAATGATATACTATTTAGACATGTAGATGTTTTAAATGAACATCTAATAACTTGGGCATTGTTATTTATTTTCTTTTTATAGAATAATGTTCAAAAAAATGTTCCCCATGCAAAGTTTAACATTTAAAATACATTATCCAATGCATAAATGAACCAGGTAACATTAGACATCATACTTAACAAAAGGAGAAAAAGCCAAATGCACAAATGATGCTAATTAAACTTAATTAAGCTTAAAAGATAATCTGCGAAGTAAAGCTATTTCAGTCATACAGTTGGGAATAACATCCAAATATCCTTTGGGTGTCACGACCAATATTTTTTTAGAAAATATTCTTGAAAAAAAAAGTACAAGGCTATTTATTTGAATCTAGAACCTCTAGCAAATACAAATCATACACCCTAACCTCTGCTGTCCCAAAAGGAAAGTAATTCTGCCACAAAAAAAAAAAAAGGGCTTAATGTCAAACTACCTTTGGCTGTCGTGGACAAGAGGTCAAATCGCTTTATTGTACTCTGTTCCTATTATTTACAATTAAAATTCCATGGGCTATGTTGCGATTCAAACCAGCGTGGGAAATACAAGTCAGACAACCTAACCACTGGGCCACTGCAGTCAAAGTAAATAAATTTCTGTCAAACAGAAGAGGTTAACGTCCCACCAGACTTTAGGTGTTTTGGACAAGGGGTAAAACTAGTTTAGAATATTTTCTCCATATTATTCACCATTAAAATTCCATGGGCTATGCTGGGATACAAATGAAGAACCACCAGTGTGGGTAATATAAGCTAGAATAAGCCAATAAAAGTAAAGAAATTCGAAAGAACTTAACATCCCATAGGAAAGCATTGGGTGTCGTGGACAAGCTGTCAAAATCACTTTACAATTACTACATTTTTTATACTATTCTTAATTGAAATTGTTATGTGCTGAATCCCTGCCCTCGTGTTCATTAGGTGCATAGAGTTGCAATTACTATGAAGACGTGTTCATTGCATGCAACATATTATGATTTTCATTATGTAAAGAGACCATATTTTTCTAATAAAATTGTAATAAATAGTAGCACTTAGAAACTATTTCATCTAACACTATAACATAGCAAAAGTGCATGGGTGTAAAAAAAAAAAATTAAATGCACCATACATTTCTAATACCTGTGTTTATTTGTAATGAATAATTATTAAAAAAAATGCATTTATAAATGATAACATGCCATTTTCTACCAATACAGAATGCCTAATTTCCATGCAGTCTAAAGACCCAAGTTAATAATTATTAGAATGCAATCCATTTTCGACCACACTACACCACAGAGGGATTAACGACTCTAACTTCGTTGGTAGATTTATTATAAAATGTCCTACAAATTGAGCGGTAAAATTCAACAAAAAATATTCTATACAAAATGATAATTTAAAAAATTATGTGATTTGTACAGTTTATTTTTAGTTTTACGACGGATTAAGCTTGCGATAAATCTGGCTCGAATATGATGAAAATAATGATATAAATATTAGATTATGTTTTGATTATTTTTTTATGTTTTAAAAAGACAATTGCATTAATAAACAAAAACAAAAGGAAAAAAAACTTCTCACCTTCAAGTAATAAAATGACTGGAGGTGGCGGTGTCACCTCTGGACATGATAATGAAGTGCTGACATCCTCATAATTTTCTGTAGTCGAAATGTAAGAATTTGTATCGTAAGTTGTCGCTGAATCATTTGCAAGTGAAGGAAAGATTGATTCGTTAGCTGTTGTACTTTCTTGATCTGTTGTCTGATCATATTCATAAGAAATGTCAACTTTTGGAAAACCGTCTTCAGTCGTACTTTCATAAATATTAATATCTGATGAGGATGTTAACACATTAGGATCATCTGTTGTGCTTGCAAAAGGTTCTGTAAAATATTCAGTGCTATCTTCTGCTAGACCTGAAATATTTTTGTCATTCATTCCACCGTTGTTATCTGGACAGGAACACTCACAAACTCCGCCAAGTGAATAGTACCCTTTAGTAGAGGGTATTTTTGTTGTTGGCGGATTGGAAGTAGTTGAGAGTTTATTATTTTTAACGTAAAGTTTGTTATTAAAATCGTAATGATTACCACCTGGTAAGGAAAGTGAAATGACATATAGGCTATTATTTTTAGTTTCTTCTTTGCTAAAATGCTGAGTTCCAATTGTTATATTAACAATAATTTTAGTATCGTGCTCTTCATGGTTTTTAGGATTAGAAAAGTTAATGAAAATATGTTTATTAGTCGTATTATGGGTAATATGAGAAGAGGATTCAGATTTTGGCAGATGCTCTTGCGCATTTTCGTTCACAAAATGATCGTATTTCAATTTGTCTGTTGTTTCACCTTTGTTATATACATTATAAACATATGATGGATGATTTGAAGTCTCAGGTTTTAAGAAGACTATGTCACTGTTAGATTGAAAATTAATTTCTTTCTGAACACTGATCCTTTGGTTGGAATTGAAATGTCTTGTTTTTCTTACTATTGCATTCGATGCATCACGTGCACTGTAATCTGACTGAAACTTGTCATTTTGGTATAACTCATCAGAGTTGGTAGGTGTGTGCTGTAACTGAGATTTAAAATGATCTTTTAGCGAGGTTTTGAAACTAATGGTTATAGGCTGTTTGTTTTTAACTTGGGCATCTTTAAAATTATTAGCACCAAGTGAAGAATAAGCATGGATGCTTTTCTTTGATAATTTCTCTGGATTAACCTTGGAATCTGGCCCAATAGCATTAAACAAAACTTTTTCAAATATGCCATTTTTCAAAATGTTTCGTTGGATTCCTTTCAACTGTTGTAATGTTAACTGTGGATCATCAGGTTTGAGATAAGTTTTCTTTTTTTCATCGAGAAAGCTTTCTTTTTTCATGCTCATCAGGTTGTTAGAAGAGACCAATCTGTTGTTTGTGAAACTATTCATATATCCTTTCCTTTTCGCCATGGTTGAGTATGTCTGTATTGTACTTTGTAAATTAATACTTTTATCATTTGTAACTTTTTTATCGGAATGAGGTAGGGGGGTGTTAGTGTGATTAATCTCTGTGCCTTTTGAGGGTGAAGCATGCCTTACTTCATGCAAAACACTGGGAGCATGCAAGGCTAAATCTCTACGTTGCCTTGCTTTGATTTTATATGGACCTTCCCTACCTCCAGCGGAAGCAGACGTTGATGGCTTAGCACGAGTTGTATTCCTTACAGTCCCTTCCGGCAAACTTTTAACAAGTGTCTCACTTAATTCCTCATCGTCCACCAAAACAGAGCAAGCTTTTGGGTTATATGACCAGTTCAAAATGTCAGACACTGCAAAATAAAAATATACGCATTAGAATTATCATAAAATTGAAGTAAATGTATAAATAGTTTTATTAATGCATAATATTTGGTAACAGTTTTTAAATTTATTTTTCTGGTGGTACCATCTCATGACAGCTCATCCTGGATTAGAACTTACTCTGAAAAAGTGAATCTTTAGTAGTTAGATTACACAACGATTTTGTACTGTGCCACACCAAAATTTTCATTGCTACCTAAAGCATTCATTCCTACCGATAATGTGTATGCCATAAAAAAACCTGCTCATCAACAAAGCTTCAGGACACCTTATTACCCTTAAAGTGGTGCACAACTTACATAGAAAACTTCTTGACATATAAGAATCAGTTTTCATACTACGATACCCAATTTACTGTCAAATTTCAGATACTTCCCAGTAATTGTCACCATATCCTGTAAAATCTAGTCACCACAGGAATTTTTCTTGGTTTGATTCTTTTTACAATATACACTGCCGACATTTTGATTTCTCTAAGCACACTTATCTTCACATTTGCTGACAACATAGCTGTCCTTTAACTCACAGTAAGCTCTTTCTTTCAAAACTACTCTATTAGAAGATTGGGACCGCAAAAGGAGAATGAAAGTGAATAAAAGAAATATAAATATATGTGCCCTACATTTTGACTTCATGACATACTGATATTGATTGCTTATATAGTACAATATCTGGGACTGAATATTCATCCAAGAACATGCACATTGCTTGGATGATTTTCTGGACTTAGCCCACACTTTTGAATGGATATGGCAGCTGGGTTTACTGTGAAAAACGTTCTCAGGGGCTACCTTATCCTGCAAAATCTGGAGTCCTCCAAGGGAGTATCCTTGGCCCAATCCTTTTTGCAATATACAGTTCTATCTTCACCTTTGCTAATAACACAGCTATCTTATTTTCTCACTTCAACAAAACAGTTGTAAGCTATTATTTTTAAAGCCACCCTATTAGAAGACTAATACAACAAAAGGAGAATCAAAGTAAACAAAAGAAATTATGTTTGATGGAGTTGATAAAAAGTTGATACTTTTCAGCTGGAAAGGAATCAGTCAACCTATCCAACTAGGAAGGTATCAGCCTGAATAAGCAACCAACAAAACAGTCTGCTGATAGTTGATACTTTTTAGTTGAAATGGAATCAGGCAACCGATCTGACTATTTAGTCAGGAAGGTATTACTTGAATAAGCAACCAACTAAACAGTCGGCTGAATAAAAGTTTGTAATGTGTGGTGGGTCTTAGTGCTCACTTTTACTTCTCCAATGAAACTATCAACACTGACCACCATTTCTTTCTGGAACTTGTAAGAACATGTTATAAGAAATTCCACCCTTTCTGCACATTCTTCTCATCCAACAACTTTCAATAACCCTACCTGGAATTATTTTGTGTTGGCAGAAGAGGCAATCGTGAATTTGCTGCGGATTGCTTCTCTTGCCAGGAGTCTCAAATTAAATTATCTTAATATTTATATTATCAAATTTACTTATTGCAACTAGGGCTGCAGGTGGATAAATTAAATATTATAAAACAAATTTTCTTTAAATACATACTGGCCATGTACGTTAACGCTGCTGTTAAAACAAGTGAAAGTATAATGCAAACGATAGCTGCACATTTCCATGAACACTTTGAGGTAAGACTTTTCTGAAATTGAAAACGTGGAGGTGGAAAGTGATGATTCGAGTTTGGCCTACGGATATTACTCCTCACTGGTAATACTGGAACTGGAGGCCCAAAACCGAGCGAGCATCTAGAAAAAAAAACCACATTAATAAACATAATTTAAATAAAAATAACATTGAGTTTTATCTACCTTTCGGTATTCTTTTGCATTTCAGCTTTTGACGGACTACTACAAGATGAATTGGACTTGTAATCTAATGTTCCTTTTGGTATATCTGCAACAATATCATTATACTATGAAAAAAAGACATTGGTAAAATACATAAAATTGTTAGAAAGAATGTAGTAGGATGGTGAAGGAAAGAGAGGAATTCTAAAACAACAAACCTGAAGGAATATATACACTGCCAGATGAGGAACGGACTACACAAGAAGGTTCAAAGTCAAGCTCATGGGGAGGATGGGATGCAGGAAGCCTTCCATTGTGCCTATTCATTGCTGGATTTCGAGGAGGCACATCAGGTACTGAATCAAACAAGCAACCTAGAATAAAAACAAAACAAATCTATATAAATTCCATCTATTTACGTGAGGTTCAAATTGAACTTGATAGTCTCTAAACATCCTTTGTTATATTGGTATGTTTGAAATTTGATTTTGGATCATTCATAGAGATCTTTTTTTTAGGGGGGGGGGTTGACTCATGTCAAAGAAAGGCATCAATCTTGGTATAGATTATCAATAATATCAAGCCTCATGTAAAAATAAGTCTTTTTAAGCCGATTCGGGCTTTCAGGTTTAACAAATTCAATGGGATAGATTCTTCATAAAAAGTTGCACTGGCTGCTAGAAGTCTGATGACTACAACTCCAGGGTCTTAACTCTACCTACTTCAAGTCAATAGCTGATTTAATAACTTGAAATATAGGAGGTAGGAGTGGGGAAAAAATTGCGAACATTAAAACTAAGAAAACAGAAAATTTGGACTTATGAAATATAAAAATAAAAAATCTCAATAACTCGTTCTGTTGGGGTTAACTCAAATGAACACTGAAAGATTGTGAAAGTACTGATGTTTTGACTCAATCCAATACCACATTTGGAAATATAGTGATGATTACTGCATGGTCTGTCACTGTTTTTCAAAATTTCACAAAAGACCTTTTCCACTTTACGGCATTCTGTCCAAGTTGGGTTTTTTAAGGAAAGTGTTTGGTAAGGATGAGTGAAAAGGTCAGGAAATTTAAAAATTGACAAACGACTCAAATTGACTAGATATGGCAAATTATGTTAAGAACAGAAGAGCATAATTAAGAACAACATAGAGTGCTTTTGCCTCCGGTAGACCATACATGGTTCTTGTACCTCCGACGTATTTGGTTCCAACATATATTTTGTTTTGATAGCTCCCATCTCTTAACTACTAGTTTTCCTTACTTCCAGTTTCTATCTCGTTATTTGCAGCCTTTTGCTTCCGCGAATAGCTCGCCAAACAATATTTGCAAATGACGCGTCAAGATCGCCGTTCAACTCATACTTCATCACGGCGGGTTCGGACAGAGCTCTTAACATAGGCCAGGCCTGGTTAAATTTCCATCTTTCCTTTGGTTCATTTTGCATTTAGTGCATTTTTCCTACAGCTCCTCTTGCCGGTCGCTTGGGACAATCAAAGCGGGGTATGGCGCAGTCACTCAACTTGGTGAGACTCTCTTTTAAACCATTGCCATTTTTCTTTTAAGCATTTCAATTAGTTTTTACGACCGACCAGCGCGCGTGTATAGTTTATTGTGGATAGTAAGTAAAGAACTTTTGAAATGAATGGACTGACAAGATTGGACGTGGGGGATTTGGTCAAGTTTTGTTTCAAACAGATTTTAGTTTTAAAAGTATTTATAGTTGATCAAGTCTTATGTTATGTTGTCTCTTAAGTCTTTTGAAGGGAGTGCACGACAGTCTAGTTATAGTCCTAAATATCTGACTTCAGTGAAAGTCGGTAATTCTTCGTTGTTGATGAACAGCGGAAGGACTTTTTTTCAATTTTTCAGACACTGTACGTTTTTAATCAGTCTTGTCCTTCACTGCACCAGTGTTTGATTGAACTCCAAGTCTTTTTGGGGTTTTGAAACGGCTTAGCATTAGAAGACAAATCATCCACGTAGGTGGATGGTGTAGGTCATAGGAAATTTACTAAAAATGTTACCCTGTGGGATATTGGTTTTATTGGTGTAATATCTGATTATTGACGCACACTTCAAAGCATCCGTTAAATTGGATTCAAGGTTTAAGTATCAAGAGGTGGGTAGGAAGCGTTTAAGTTTTTAAGCTTGGGTGACCCTTTCAAAAGCCTGGGCTTCCATGAATACTCTTTGTTTTCTAGTGTGGAGGCAATCGTGTCAAAAGTATTAAGATATATTTTTTCTCAAAACGTCAAGGACGATACAAAGATCGAAGGAATAAATATTCCATATGTTTTCTCCACTTCAGAAAAATACAACAACATAGAATCATATATATGTAAACTAACCCGCCCCCTTACATTAATCTAACCCTGACCGACGTAACCTAACCCTAACACTGCCTAATATGACTTAATATCTAACCGAAACACTACCTAACATAACCTAACCCTAACCTAATCTAACAAAAACCCTAACCCTGTCCAACGTAACCTAACCCGTCGCTAACCTAAACACTACTTAATATAACCTATCACTACCCCTATTAAACCTAACCTATTCTAACCAAAACAGTAACCCTGACAAACATAAACTAATTAGCCCCTAACCCTAACACTACTTAATATAACCTAACACTAACCCTACTAAACCTAATCAAATCTACCCAAAACCCTAACGGTGCCTAACGTAATCGAACACCTAATCTAACCTAACCTTAAGTCTATTTAACGTAACCGATCCTAAACTAACTTAAAGCCAGAAACACACTTACCCGATGCTACGCCATGCGACGCTACCCGATGCTACCCGACGCAAATCCAAATTCCGATTTTCCATAAGGTTGCATTACCCCCGTGCACATCTATCCGATGCTATGCCACGCTAACCTACCCGACGCTCTGCGATCCCCATTGTCCGGATTTTCGTCGGGTCGCATCGAGTACAGTCGAAGACACTCATATTTTTATTCAAACTACATGTATTATTGTCGTTATATTAATTACAAAATATTTATTTTAATATAAACCAAATTAACTGTGATTAAAAATTAATTACTTTTTATTTAAAAAATTAATTTTAATGGTTTGGTTGAAAATTAATCAAAACATCGGAATACGATTTTTTAATATAATGAATTTAACTAACAATTTATTGTACTTGCTTCCGCGGTACATATACTAAAATTGGAACAATTTATTACACGGTTTTGCTCATAACATTTAATTCATATTTTTTGTAGTTTATTTCAAACTAAGTACATGTAATTTTGTCGTTATGTTAATTACAACATGTTATTTTAATGTAAACCAAATTAAACGAGATCAAAAATGCATAAGTTTTTATAAACATTGTTTAATTATGATAGTTAGGAGTAACTGTATTTAAACTAATTAAGTTTAACAAACAATTTATTAGATGGTTGTGCTCATGAAATTTAACAAACAATTTATTACATGGCTGTACAAGGTTTTGCTCAAAATAGTGCATTAAGAACAAAAGATGCGTTGCGATTGTGATAGTGATTATTGTGATAAACGCTGTGGACTGTACGCGACGTGTACTTGCGTCGGATAGATGTGCACACCCCACCAAAACGTGGCAAGGCGTCGGGTAGTATCGGGTAGCGTCGCATGGCGTAGCATCGGGTGTGTTCCCGGCTTAACCCATGTCTACTACATGGTGATGCCAAATCCAAGTCGCATAAATGTCCACGTAAAAACATGTTGTACCAAGCGCAAAAATATATCTATGTTTTAAAAATGGTGCGTATTGAACGGTGTACACTATTCATATACTTAATAAATGACTCAAATGGTTTTTTTGCTGAATCGAATTGGTGATGAATTAGAAGTCGCACCCTTGCGGAACGGTATTCATTGCTGCCGGGAGAGCAAACGAGGAACGATCCGGGCCCTTCCTAATTCGACACGAGAGAGTTGCTATGTAAAATAGTCAATTGTGATTTATCCACACCCTTTCTTTCCATGCGTCTACAAATTTAAAACAATGCCTGTTTCTCGCGTGTCTTCATTCTCATTTAAATGGTTTATAACTTGCTTAATCTATTTAACGCATAAATTTATCGTTTAAAATGATGTTTAATTATCTCTGATCATGAAAGTTCACTTCTCCTCTTTTTATGTTTCTATCTGACGGGCCTTTTTTTTGTCTAGTTCAAAACTCAAAAGCGAAAAATCATCGTACGCCAAAATGGTGATTTGGTTTGTATAAAGTTCAAGACGTGACGTTTTGGGCAAGGACAAATAAGTTTGTCCTAGGAACGTCAAGCACAGTCGACAGCTGAGGAAACAGTATTAATGCTCACAATGATGGATGGCTAAATAAAAGAGGAGGCCATATAGAATTTCGTTTAGTGTAATATATCTGCATGTTATCGGAGAAGGGAAACCTATCCTGAGGACGAACCGGCGACAACCGTAATATCCAAAGAAACCATGGAAAGCCAAGATGCGGCAATCAGTTAGACATTATGTATCATTTATCAAGAGAATCCAACGGAGGGGGGGTGGATCCGCCCGGAGAACCCTCCGTGTTAAAATATATCCATCAGGGCCTATCCAGAAGGCGGTTTATCACCATCTTTCTAAAAACGCAAACGCCGTGCTTTTAAAAATATATATTTATATCCTTTCCGCTATTTTTAACATGATTTTTTAAATATAAACAAAGATTTCCCTACAGTTCTTTCGTCTTCCTCCTCGTCGGACGTTATAAACCTAAGAAAGTTGTACACGAAAGGACTAAACTACGAGTCAACATATATAGATGAAAATCTTACAACTTAATCAAAATACAAGTTGAAAATTACTTATACACCTTAGGTAAATACCTGAATATTCTCTGAAAGTTACCTCATAAAAGCTCACAAAGAAAATACGGCAAATGCGTTATGGGACATGCTCCTAAAAGAAACTGTTATTGATTTAACTTTTATCGAGCTTAGCTTAGGTGTCTAAAGGTAGTAGCAGACGCAAGTTTCCATAGGCTATTGGTTTATGGTTATAGGTTTAAGGAATCGTCCTCTGTATAACCTTACGTTCTGAGGATATAATGGTGTAATCTTCATCATTGACTAAAGCTCTGAAAGCTTTGTTAAGGTTTGATACTTGGCTTTTCCTTACACAGTAGAAGTAATCGCGTCCTGCACAGGCCTTCGCACCAACTGAGTACATTTTCTTCTGTTTCTTGTTCTTCCTGGCAATATCCGCACAAGATTTTTCTTCTTCGAGTTTGTCTCCGGGGTCGTCAATACTATTATCATTCGAGCCCTAACTCGTCCTAGGTTTAGCAGTTGCTCCAGATTCCAGAAACATCTGGTTCTGTCGTGATGGAATAAACGTTTAT